GTATTTTCTCATGCTCTTTTAGAATTTGAGCGGTGAGGGTGATGTTCATGTTCTGACTCGGACTCATCAATGTATGATGGAGGATTGGCCTATCTTTTTTACCTTTTTCGGCCACTTGGCCTGTCATGTACGCAAAACATGGCTATAAGGCCGGCCATCTGGCCCATTGTTCGATCAATGTTGTTTAAAGAATTTATAATGCGGTTGTTCGTATCCATATCCAATGCAGAAGCCGTTCCCGGCGCATTGATGGGGACAACCGCATGGTTTGGTGACGATTTGCCTTCAACACTCATTTTCAATTGGGAAACCCAAGACTATAGAAAAAAAACGAATAAATACAGAAAAGGGACGACTCTTACCTTCTTTGCTGCCCGCAAGAGGCAAGGAAAAGAGAAGATGTTGAAGATTTGCAAATAAAATGCAGGAACCCACTCACGAACAACAAACTAAACTAGCAAAACACTCAGCACTGACTAGCAATGCGCATGCGCATCTCATGTGACTTCGTAGTGACGTAGACTGATGACAAGATAGAATTAGTTTTGTAGAGGCCCCTGCAATAATTTCAGTAGAAGTCAATAAGTTTGTTATGTACTTACTCACTGTGTCTTTCCTCTGCAACAGATGCTGCTGAAGTTCTTCGAAGTAACAGGCGGTTGTTTGAACAGAATGTGGGGAAATCCATGAGGGGAGGATATGTCGGAAGTGTCTACTTTGAACGTTGCCTCATAAAATAATGCCTTCACTGGACACATTAGAGAGCTTGCTCTCTATTTATTAACACTTTAACTATTGCAATGCAAATTTGCTAAGATCAAAGCCAAAGAGGAGTCTGATGCCAGGCACTTATGAACATTTCAAGGGACACCAGACACATATGGAGGACTCTGAAACTACTATAAACAAATCTTAAACCCTTAATTTTCTAGATAAAGATTGTTTTTAGCCAAAGCTTTTAACCCTCTTTTTCTCTTAAACCTTAGCATTTTCTTTCCATGGGAATGATTAAGCTTTGAAGTTAAATTAAATGTATTTAACTGGAAACCCCTTAGTTCTTTTTACTCTTCTTAACTGTTGCTTTCTGAAAATTTGCAGAGGCAAACTTCAACTCCTGTGGTCTGTGTTTCATGGCATTTCACAAGTTTCTCCCAAATTAAGCAGGACAGAAGTTAGGGAAACCTTTGCTCTGCTATAATTACTAAGTAGCTAAAATATGTATGAATAATTTTGAGGGTTTTCTCAACAAAAATAATACAGAAAATACCATCAACTGATCTGTGGTTTGAGTCTTTAGGTGTAAGGTTGTTATATGAACTTCCTGATATGCAGTGCTAGATTTCTTATTTTTTCCTCTGAATAAGAAAAATGATTTTCTTCTAGTCTTTACCTACAAAAATGCATTTGATTAGATTATGAAGGTAAAGTTAGGAGACAAGGAATGGTCATTGATTTTATTGTTCTTTAGCAGTCTTGTATATCGTTGTTTAAAAGTGTTTCAGTTCTCAGCTTCAATTGTCTGTTGTAATTGCTACATAGGGAGGGAATATTGCTGTACTGATATGTGAAATCTAGAATAGACATTTTTTGTACAGTTGTGTATAAAATAAACATAGTATGCTGTGTAAGCATGTCTTTGATTTGTCGTAATACCATTATTTAGAGGGTTTTTCAGGTTCTGGGATATTGTTTATTTACAACTCTAGACTTGGGATTTTGGTATTTTGGTATTGAGGACAAAAAATTACCAATGTGATGCAAAAGATAACACCTTTGAATCGTTTTTCTCATTTGGGTGAGACAGATGCTGAACAAAGTGTACTTGTTCAGTTTGGAAGCTTGTAGAACTTTCTGTCTGATTTTCGTAGGTTTTATCAACCTAAGAAATGCACGTGCTGTGTACCACTTTCATCTTAGACAGGGAACAGTTCCATAGAATAAATGGACTCTCATTTTGGTTTTCCCCCTTCCCCTCCTTACGTCTGCAGCTTCAAGTTTCTAAGAAGCCTGTGCGGAAATTGTCCGAACTATTACAGCACATGTACGGATTCACTGTAGCGAGTTAAATAGCAAACGGAAAAAGTTGGTTGTGAACGGAAGCAGTTACACCACAGGCAGCCCAAGCTCTCTTTGAGAACCACACACGGAACACAATTTGCATATTTATAAGGATTTGTATGGGATTTTCTACAAGATCTCTATAGAGATATTTAAAAGTGAAAATATTAAATAAAAATGGCTTACCTTATTCCATACGTGTGTTGTTTGCTCCTGGTGTCGTTATTTTACCGATTTCACTTGATTTAAGTGTTTTTTTTTTTTTAATCCTGGTTTTCTACCACAGATAAGTCTCTTTATGTGGTAGAAAACCAGGATTAAAAAAAACGCTTAAATCAAGTGAAATCGGTAAAATAACGACACCAGGAGCAAACAACACACGTATGGAATAAGGTAAGCCATTTTTATTTAATATTTTCACTTTTAAATATTTCTATGGAGATCTTGTAGAAAATCCCATACAAATCCTTACAAATATGCAAATTTTGTTGATTGTGTGGTTCTCAAAGAGAGCTTGGGGGACCTGTGGTTACACAAACATTTTTACACTTGAAATTGACTTACCACACCCTTACCCCGCCCACTAAAACAACCTGTGAGGTTGTGGCTTATATATAGCAAATTCGGCCCAGGTGCTCACGGAAACTTAGTTTGCATAAAACCAACATGGCGTCACGTTTTGCGAAGTTCTGTTTGCATAATTTTCGCCTTCAATCCTCTCCAGGCAAAGCAGTTCTAGGTCAAAGATCACATATTTTGGTAAGAATCTCATATGAGTGGTTTGGAGTTTTTCTTAGGTAGTTTTCAGACGTAAAATAATTTGTCGTTTGTGACATGACTTTCTATTAAGCTCTTAATTAAGGAACCATTTATTTTATGGGGAGCTTGGTTTTATTTCTTAGCAAAAGGGTGACAGACAGCTCTTTATATGAATATAAATCTTCCTTCATACAAATAATTTCAAAGTGATAAAATCTTCCCAAATGTGTATTCTTACAAAATATTGCTACCGTCAAATCAATATTAATGTTTTTATAATTATATCTAGCGGCTAAAGATAATTACTCAGAGCTAATCATCTCTGTGTCCGAGACAGTTGATTATGGGACTAAAAGATACCATTAGTTCTGTTAGGTACACAAAACAAGCCAAACATTTTCTGGTATAATATCTCCTAGTTACCGCAGGTTTTGGCTCAATTTTCCGATCTTTTTTGTTTATAGATTCGAGGCTTGTCCACAAATTCTGATATTAAGGTACGTAACATACCGTGCAACAAGGTGACCTGTTAGTGTTCATAAACAAGTCTTAACCATTTAATTAAGATCATGTTATTTAATAATATATTTCTTTTGTCTGACTTAGTTATCACCTATGTACGTAATATGTCGCATGCAATTAGTGCAAATCAGAAAGTTGGAAAATAAAGTTGAAAGGAGACATTCGATAGATTTTTCGAGTCAGTTGAAAGATCTCCTCTCAGTGGTCCATTAGTATAGCACAACAATTTCTTCACAAGCTATCTGCTTTAAAATACGGCATTTTCTGCAGGCCTTACCAAAATAATAAGTGCCTTTGTGGTTTATGAGAGCATTCATGATGTACAGCATTTCCTGGAGTAACCACCCACACTCTCATAAGTACCCTATCCCAAATAAGTGTTTATCCCCAAGGCCATAACATGAAACAAGTGTCCCTCTCGAATAAACACCCTTCCTCTCTTTTTCACTTTCTTAAATAGTCGATATCTAAAGAAAACCTTTTTTTCGACAGCCATTTTATTTATAACTTTTTATGCTTGAACTATAGCAGGGTCAGAATAGGACAATACCCCCACCCCCCTTCCTTGATAAGGCACCCTCCTTCCAATAAGCCAAAATGTTGACAAAGTGCATTTATCAAAGCAAATACAATATGTTTCCATTCTTTCAATTTATACCTTAATTTCTTTTGTTTTTCAAGTACGATAGACTTGTAGTTGAACCAACCAAGTCTCCAAAATCAAAATTAGACTATAATACATTAGTCTTTGGTGCAGAGTTTACAGATCACATGCTCAGTATTGAATGGACAGCAGAGAATGGCTGGGCTGATCCAAAAATTAAACCATACCAAAACTTGTCATTACCGCCATCCTGCTCTGTCTTTCACTATGCAATGGAGGTAGGGAAACACAATTATCTTACTATCCATCTGGAATCCTGAATTGGATTCACAATTATCCTTCATAATAATAATTACAATGACTTCATTAACATGTCTATTTCATCTAGCAGTGGGAACACCTAATTAAACTATCTAAAATACAACATGAATTAAATGAATTAAATAAGATCTAAACTGGAAACCATTTTCAAATAATTGTGATCTGTTCATTTGGTTTTATTCTTTCGAACCATTTTCAATTAATCGTGATCTTTTGATTTTGGTTTTGGTTTAATTCTCTGTGACTGGTTTTGACTGAACTCAAGGGATATCCCCTAAGCAATTTAAAACCAATTGCAAATTGAACACACTCATGCATATTCCAGCACATGATGTTGCTCAGTTACATGTTTATACTTCAAATTTCCCTCAACTCCTTACAGTTCTAACCTTTGGTCTTAATGGGCATTGTGATGACTCTGTTTGGATTTTTAGACTTTCATCTGATAAGCACTCGAACATACTGACTTTGAAGTTCAAAATAAACTTCAGCATAGTCCCACATTTTAAACTGCTGTCAATTAATAGGTATTAATAGTAAAGCTGAAACAAGCTAAATGGACCAAACTCTGTTGATCACAATCTTAAAACTATCCCAAATGCTTAACTCTCAATAAATAGTCTACCAGTGAAATAATTGTGTCATAATTGTTTGGATAGATTTTTGAAGGCATGAAGGCATACAGGGGAGATGATAACAAGATTAGATTATTTAGACCCATGGAGAACATGAGAAGAATGAACAGATCAGCTGACAGAGCTTGTCTACCTGTAAGTCACTTATTTCTGTTGTCAGCTAAGTTATATTTCAGTTCTTTTCAGTGAGCTACGGCTTGCAATAATCTATTTCAATCATCGTTTGGTCTGGTGGACAATTATGGTAAACACTACAGCGTACACTATTGAGTTATGGATGCAC